TAGACCTTCAATATAAACTCAAATGAAGCTTCTTCCATCGATTCGAAATGTCAAGTTTGGGAAAAACACTACATTAGGGGATTTAAAATGTTGCGATTTTGTAAAGAAATGCCTAAAACAAATACATTCCTAGGTGGTTCTACATTAATTTTTATTCAGTCTTACTATTTAGGCAGCGATAGACTCGTATGTGAATGTGGATTGGGATGAATATCACGTTGGGAAGACGTTGGTTCGACCAAAAACCAATGAACCACGTTGGAACGAAGAATTCATCGCGGTACATCAGTTTGCGCTTCGTGTTAATTGCATGTTTATCGTCTCACTAATGACTTAATCGGTCAAGGAATTCGTAGCACCCGCATCGTTGTTCCTGAGGAACAATAAGAATTCAATTTCCTTGGGTTAAAGATATTTTTAAAAGTTTTCAGAATGACGTACATTCGGGCAAAGCGATTGGTTTCACCGTATTTCATAGTTGTGTGATGCCACCGGATGATTTTGTCGCTAATACTAGGATAACATTTGACGATCTCAAAATAGGCAGCAATAATGATATCTGGGTGAGTAAGGATTGTTTCAATCTATTTTTTCCAATAATCCTGAAATTTTTTGATTATATGGGCGTAAATATTTCTTAAAAGGAATCTTTTCCTGTCATTCTAATACCTGTAATTCTACCTAATTTTGTAGAAATCTGCTCCTCTATCCTTCCAAATTTTCTAGCAATCTGCTCCTCTATCCTTCCAAATTTTCTAGATAGAACAAGTTTCGTGTAATCCACGAGCGTCAACAACTCTCATAAAAATTGTCACGGGTGACAGCGGAAAATTTTCTTTTAGGGTTTGCGCTAAAAAATTGGCCAAGTGGGCTTGATTAGGACGCGGCCAAAAACGGATTTTCCAAAAAAGAATTAGTGAATTCTCACCAACTATGCTGTTATGTTTTCCTTATATATTTACATAACGACATGCACATTTCCAATGATTAGTATGCTTAATAAAGGGCAGGTGCTAGACACTTTTGTGCTTCTATTGTTTATGAGTTGTTTTCAACATGTAACTACTATCCTTTTTTTCAAAAAAAATATCATCAAGTTTAGATTGTGCTCCACCATCTTTTTTTGAAGGAGTCCTCAAAAATGTAACAATATCGCTGATTCGTCATTCTCTTGCTCAGCTTTTTGAATTTTCATATAATTTTCCATGACGATATGATGATTTTCATTAGAAAAAAATGTTGCGGAGTGAGCTTTAACATTTTTTGATTTTTTTTCAAAAAATTTGTTATCAATGGAGCTTTCGAGGGTTTTTGAAGTCGTGCGAATCCATTATAGTTTGAAAAAAGCGCGATTTAGTCGGCTTTCCGCGAACATGCTTTTGAGAAACACGTAAACTATTTGAACTGAAAAAAAGCCCACGGTCAATTTTACAGTTTCAGATTTGAAATGCGAGCAAAACTCAAGGGGTACTTCTTTTTTGTCTTTAAATAACACATTACACTTATGCTAGTGATTGTCAGTTAAACTCGAGAAATGGCTTTTATCAACTCTAGAGTGGTAGAAGATTGAAACTTGATATTCATGGAAAATGGGATGTCCTTCAGAAAGAGGACAACAAAAAGATTGATTAAAGATTTAATTGGAAGTCTTTTTATGGCTTACAAACTCAGATTTCATAGCAAAGTGTCGCTCTAATTTTAAGGAGTCATGACGAATTAAATCATAGAAAAATAACTTAGTAGAGACGTGTAGAACATCCATGCCTGAAAAGATGAAAATGAAACATCTAAAGGGAATTAACTAACGCTCAAATGATATATTTGTACTAAAAAAGAAAACACGAAGCCGATTTTTATGAGCTTTTATGTTGGGGATCCAAGTTCACATCAAAACTTCCAGGTTTCTAAAAAAAGTTTATTTCACATATTATTTCCTGTAAAATCATATGATTGGCAAGATTATCAACAACAAATGAAGCACGGCATTCATTACAATTTATAAACAAAGAAAATGAATTTGTTCAAATTTGCCGAAGAGGTGTCATATAATGAAGGATCCCTATTGAATTATTTATGACCTACGGTCTCGTCTTTTTTCCGCCACCGGCATCCCGAGACGGTGTATTTGATGACGGTTTCATGTGTAAGGATTTGTTCCTTTGTAAAAAATGTTTCTTCCAAGTGCAAGGAGGCCGTTTTCAAAAAATCCTTCTTTATTCTTGCATGTTTTAAAAATATGTACAAAATGCTACTGATTCGTTTTTAGGTGGACCTCGAACCGCATGGGCAACTGCATGTGGTAATTGAACTACACGGCTCAGCCGTTGAAGGTGAGTATAGTGTTCTCTTTTTGCTTTTAATGATTTTATTGATTGTTTTCTTGTTTTCCTCGGAATTACTGGATGAATGGCAGTCATTTAGTCATTCTTGTGCTTTCCGTTGAATGCTTGACTAAATTGAGCAAATTCTCTGCTTGGCTCTTAAAGCTGTGCTTGAGCCGTCGCTTTGAAAATTTTGAGGGATAAACTATCAAGCCTGCTTATTCTTTTGTAGAGATGCAATAGCAAAACTTGCGAAGTTCTGCTTCATGCACGCATATTGATTGATTTCCGTACGAGTTCACTCGATTCACATTTTCATGGACCATTGTTGTGTTGGTATTCTCGTTATACGAAATTATCCCCTCAAATATACCAGCCGAGGGTTTAGCCTCTACAGTAATTCGATATTTAGCCTCGGGACCAGATAACTCGTCTTCGATTTTTGTTGCACGATGAATTCTGGACATTTTTAGCGTTGTGCATGCCTTATATTTTGAAAGTTGACGATTGAGGTGTGAGACGAGATCCAGAGCAAGCTGTGAGATCTGA